CTCCAACCTACTAGCGATGGCCTCCAACCTACTAGCGATAGCCTCCAACGTACTAGCGATGGCCTCCAACCTACTAGCGATGGCCTCCAACCTAGTAGCGATAGCCTCCAACCTACTAGCCATGATGGCCTCCAACCTACTAGCGATAGCCTCCAACGTACCAGCGATGGCCTCCAACCTACTAGCGATGGCCTCCAACCTACTAGCAAAGCCTCCAACCTACTAGCAAAGGCCTCCAACCTACTACTAGCGATGGCCTCCAACCTACTAGCGATGGCCTCCAACCTACTACTAGCGATGGCCTGGAACCTGCTACTAGCGATGGCCTCCAACCTACTAGCGATGATGGCTGCCAACCTACTGGCGATAGCCTCCAACCTACTACTATCAGGTTTGTTTTAGTTTGACCGGATATACTTTAGTTAATGAACTACAGGCTAACATGTAGTTCAATAACCAAACCTGTACTTCACCAAGTGAGAACAAGTACGTGTAACTATATGATTGTTTTGACTTACTTATAAGTTGCTTACTCTGGAAAAGTTCGATTGATATAAGTATCTTGTATTTTCTGAGAACTGAGTTATATATCAGATTTATCTTAGTTATGAACTAGTTACAACTACTTATTTTGAAGTTAAATCTAGTTAGTAAACATTTTTGTTGTAGATAACATGATTATTTGGTACTGCTTTGTATATTTGCAGATTTTTTGTTCGGGCTCCAACTGAGGGCGTCGCATGGGCTGGGGACTGGGCGGGGTGGTCCTACTATATACAAACCATATATATATATACACATATCAGATATATTTGTTCATATACTTTTTCTGCGCATTCCTCACGTCGGCCTTCGGTCGGCCTTGTGTCGGCCCCTCGTTCAGAACGATGCCCGTTCGGAACGTCGGCCCTGACGTCGGCCTTACATAATGTGTAGGGGAACCTACTCGTGTAGCTATAGTTTCGGTACGTCGGCCTTTTGTGGGCCCTATCAGCGACTGCTTGCGTTCAAAATGAGTTTTCTTTTGATAGCCTCAGCTGGTCGTTCAACTGCATCCAGACAACTTCGTGGCGCCGTGTGGATGGAGAATCCAAAGGGATCACGGTGGTGTGGTGGAAACCTGTAGGAAATAAACGTTGCTGCGTCCGCCGAACTGACGGATCCGTTGGCGAAACCGCATGAACAAATGCGAAAGGGAAAAACAACGAATAAACTGTACAAATCCATGAAACAAATAACTAGTTACCTCATAGTTATACATATATAGTTATAAACTAGATATAACTAACGTTGGAATACATTACACGTGATAGCAATAAATTAGTTAAAATGTATTTTTCGATGTTAACTAAACTATAAATAGCATAACCAAAACAACCCTTTGTAGTAGCGATAGCCTCCAACCTACTAGCGATGGCCTCCAACCTACTATTTATGAGGGCCCCCAAATTTGGTGACTTTGGGAAGACTTTGTGCCCAGGAAGACCTCCATGGAGCGCGTCTCCGTCATCGGCTCGCTCCGTGATGGGCGTGATGCTGCGCTCCCCATGGCCCTCACGACCGGCCTCAACGCGTGGATGCGTCAACTGGTGTTTCGCATGGTTGCGTGGGATGCAGATGCCAGGCCACGGTGAAAACAAGGGGATGGAATTTCGATTTGCACAAATGAAGTGAGAGATGCAATTGATAGATGAACATGATGTAGTATGATGTAATATGTGCTCGGCTAGTTAGAAAAACCCAGCGCCCTGGTTATAAGTTCCCATTTCCTTTTGAGTTTGGGCGTATTTTTTGAAGGAAATCCGTGGCAGTCTGGCCATTTTGGAGGCCTTCAGCGGTGGAGGTGCTGGATGAGTTGGATGCTGATCAATGGGCTTCAGGCAGTCTGGACAGATGATCGCTTGTGCTTGCTCCAGTATCTCAGCCTTTGCAAGACTGATAGACTGACAGAACCATGTTGAAGTAGAGCCACTGGAGTATATAACACACGAAGTTTCCTCAACATTTTAAGTTTTTGCAATGACAATTTTGAGCCGTCACACCACAACGCTGCAAAAATGTAAGAGAGTCTGCTTGCAATTCAGAATCCAGACGAAGCCAGCTTGGAGCTGCGCTACATTGGGCGGTGCTAAAGACTGCCAGTCGGGCAGTTTATGACCTGGATGATATTGATGCAGGTTTCATGAGATGTCATAGGCTCCGTTGCGAAGATAGCTCGCTTTTGCCCATTCAGCAAGCTGGCGGGGGTTAGCAGCATGTGCAATGACAGGTCGTCACAATCCTTTCCTCGGGACATGCAATTCAAGGCGTGAATGGGTCTTGGCGGCCCTGATGGGATTGTTTGCTGTTTGAAGATTTTGGATTTCATTCTGCATCGTGATCGCATCGTAAATTATGCTGCTGTGAATAGACTTTGGGGAGTTCCTGGGGTCGGGTTTTGGGAGCAGCAAGCTGGCCATGGTCTTGCCAGGTCCCCACAATTTGCCTCCATGCTGACGCACCTTTCAGCCGCGCACAATCCGTACATTGGTTTCTTTCTTGACCACTGCCATGTGAAGGCTTGAGAAGCCTCACTTGTGGCCACCAGGCCACCAAACAGAGGTCAAAGCGCAATGATCACTCAGGATTCCATGTTCATGCGGCTAAGAACATGGCCTGGGTGTTCATGCTCAAACTTGTTGGAACACACATTGAACACCCATCATGTACCTTCAACCCACCTACACCAGCAGCAATTGCTGGCACAACACCCACGCAAACACACGCTCCACTGACTTTGAATTCGATCTTTGATTTAATTCCAGGATTGTGCTCAGTGGCGGTTTTTGTGCCCCCAAACTGACGTGTCACAGAGTGCAGGTTGGTCAGCTAGATGACCAACCCACTTAGTGTCCCAGTCGAAGATGCGGCAAGAGCTCGCAGTGGGACATTCTGAGAGATGATGTGTCTGATCGCGCGAGACAATGGCCTGAGTCATTTGTGCCTGGCGAGAATTTAAAGTCTCCCAGTGCACGGTTGAGGGCGTCCGGACGTAGCACTTTGCACTCTCCGCACTTCGAGGAAAATTGCCCTCCGCCCTTGAAAAGCAACGCAGAGCCGTCAGAGCCACACCCCACCACCGATGACTTCCACATGATTTCCACGACCACAGGACCCCATCTTGCCGTCCCGTGGGACTGGCGCGTTTGCGGACCATCTGACCACCGCACTTATTGCGTGGGTCTGAAAGGGAGTCTGAGATCCATTTGACACCTGAGAAAGATGCTCAGTATGATTAATACCGGATTTTTCTTCTTGGAGAAACCACAGTGGAGAATTCTGGAAGCTCAATTGCTCAAACAGCACTGCGATACCCTAGGTCAAGTCCAGGTACTCGGTACTTTGTACATTGAAACAGGTGGTTCTTGCAGAGCAGATGACTGTGACTAAGCAGCTTTTAGGGTCAAAGGACCCGGCTTCCCTGACAGATTCTATGCAGCTGCAGTGTGCTTTTCCACGGGTGGTCCAACAGTCAAGTTGTCCAGCCCGCCTTCGAGGGTTCACTGGTTCATTCACTCAGATTAGCTGCCCATGGGCCCAGAACCTGAGAGCAAGGATGCTACGAACGGGGCTCCTGGCATCGCTACTAGTAACAAGAAGTTACTAGGTGCTCCTGGCCTTACTACTAGGAGCAAGGACGCTACTAGGAACAAAGGGCATCGCTACTAGGAGCAAGGAGTTTCGTTTTTTGATGGAAACTTTCCGCGAGCATGAACACAAGTTGTGGTAAGACCTGTGGTAACACCTACCAAATAACTAATCACCTGTGGTAACACCTGTGGCAAGTTGTGGCAAGTTCAATAATCACCTACCAAATGCCTTCATGGGGTGTCCATTTAGCATGTTTGGACAAGTACAACTTTGGTGCACAAAGAGACTGAAGGCAAGGACAGCAGCCGAGGTCAACAGAGAGCTTTCATGCAGCCCCGGCTGCAACCTAGATATATTTTTGACTCAGCTGAATATGTTATCACCATTCAATCGTTGGAATCTATGCACTTTCAAAATGCATTCATTCTTTTCCTCCATGTGTCTGCGCAGCTCCTTTGTCCGCTTGAACTGGTTCTGCGCCGACACTGTCGTCGACGCCTCCTCTATCGCCCAACGGTCATTTGATCTCGTTTGTGGACACTGGCGCGGAGCTAGGGAGCATCATTGAGGGCAGCAGATCGGAGGGAAAATTTTATCCAAATGTAACGCATGCGCTCGATGAGGATGTGGAAAAACATGGTCAATCAACAAGTGTTTGTAATTCTTAATTTTTTGGATCTGAAAAAAGTGCTGTACAAACAATCTGAGCGCTGTGATCGTGTTCACCCTTCATATTATGGTCCTAGGACCTTCCAATTCGATCCGCACTTGCCAGGTCCAGCAAGAACTCGAAGACATGTGCTGTGCTAGAACAGCACTGCTCCACAAACTCTACTGGCAGCCGCGGTTTCCTTCAGAAACTCTACACTGGCAGTCACATTGACGCCACGATTTGTAGTAACGATTTGTAGTCAAATGCGCGAGCAGATTGTTGGTTCACCGCAGCCAAGCCCCACAGGGCTGCGGACACCAATGTCTCCATTTGAAGATTCTGATGCTTTTGGGGGCGCCTTGGCAGTGCAATGTTTCAAACCCTCCGCGAGAGACGGACGGTTGGACAGTTGCACTTTTGCAGTGCAACTGCACTATCGCAGATAGCATGGCACACACCCCAGCACCAACTCCCAACTCGAGAGCACTCCACCCGCCTGGGTCCGCAGCACTCACCGGACACCAGGCGCAACACAGTCTCACGTGCAGTTGCCGCCTGCTGACCTTCGTCAAAAAGTGCCCTATGCACGACTAGACAAGGACGTTCGTGCGTGGTTGGCATTACCTGGCCGTGGCCGTACTTTTGCCGCAGAGAGGCTTTGGCCCTTTGGCAGTATCGACCTTGGAACAGCATGAGCCACACCAACAGATCCTCCAAATACTTCTTCAAGAGCAACTGATGAGCATGAGTAAGTGTTGTGAACTGTCTATGCTCCATTCTCGGCCGTTTTGAGATGCCGGGCCTTTCGATTAGTGGAACCCCCAAACTCCTGAGAATGGACTCTCACTTTGATCAAACACATGAATGGTGACTCACTTTCTCTCGAGTGGTCTAGGTTCTGAGACATGTCATTCAAATCCTTCCAGCGAACTGAGCGGCAGCATCGTGTACACTGGCACAGTGGCCACGGCGGCACTAAAGCAATCCTCCCGCTCGAGCACTACATGCTGGCGAAGGGATTCGCTGACCGTCCCATGCAAGGGCAAAATTGCGATACAGTGGGTAGAGAGGGGGTGGAGTGGCTTGATGGCTTGAATCATGCGCATATTCACTGGTTTTCCCTGGCCGGGCTGCTAGAGCAAGCGTCATTTTAATGATTTCCGAGAATCTTGCCCAAAATACACTAGTCACCAGTACTGTTGGGGCAGCAGTGGTTCCAACCTTGGAGTTCAGACTCAGACCCAGTTGGTGCTTCACATTCCTTTCGAACCTGCTGAACGATGTTGATGGACACTTCACTTGCACTGTATGTACTGCAGCTGCTGAAGAGCAGAGAGGGGGCCGCAGTCTTCTGCGTATCACCGAAGGCGCTTTTGCAATGAGTCTTCGCTGGAGCCATCAAGCTTATGTTCACCACATTAAAATACAGTACGTCTTATATTTGTTTCATAATTTCTTTCATGTACACACACACACATATCAATATACTTATATATATATATATATTCATTCTCCACCTCAGCTTTCTTTTCTTTTTCTAGGTAGGTCATGAAGCGCCCTTCTGCAACGGCGAAGAAGGCGAAGACTGTGAAGAAGCTGGGAGGCCAACATATGTGTTCATGCCACCAACCTTTCCAGCAACCCGGGCACTATACTCACTGACAGTCAGACGTTCGTGGTTGAATATGGCACATACTCATGGTATACTTTCATTCATTATTGTTTCTGGGTGACTTGCATGCTGGGGTCGGCTTTGGAGCCGCGAAAAAAGCCCAACTTGGATCCCCTGGTGTCCTCCGCGCGAGGTGCGGATTCAGGGCTTTTCGTGTTAACTTTCCACAGAGTGGACCAACTGTCATCCAAGAGCTGCTGTGGGCTGTAGGTCCACTGGTCTTTGCCGAACAGGCGTGGGATGAGAATGTGCCCACCCGTTGTGTTGCTAAAAGTGTCTTTTTGGGCATTTTGGGCTTCCATTCAGGGCTGAAACACGTGACATGGCCATGATCACTGAAACCGATTGGCCTTCAGTTCAGATGGGTGGCAGAGAAATGCTTGAGGCCTTTGACGCAGCGACCTTCGCCAACCGCTTCCGCTATGGGGAATTTGGAGATGCAGTCGCCCAACGCCCAGGTGAAACAGGTGGACAAGTGATGGCCTCCAACCAAAAAGAAAGAAGCGATGGCTGCAACCTAGAAGCGATGGCCTTCAACCTAGTAGCGATGGCCTCCAACTTAATAGCTGAACTTTCCAGGTTTATCGGTCGGTCTGATTTTGGGAACCCAAGAGCTGGCTTTCGGACGTTGGGATCGGGCGACGAACAAGGTCTTCACTGAAGCGCGACGTTCTGCGGTGCTGTGGGGTGGCCCAGTTCAACTTCTTGGAGTTGCCGCGTAGAGCATTTAAGAACAAGTGTTCTTGTCCTTGCTGATAGGAAGGGACGGCGATGTCCATGACCTAAGAAAAAATCATAGGAGCAAGGGGTTGTAAGCTCGGGACATTTTGCTAGAAGTTCCGTTACAGGCTGGGCTTCCTGTGTCTAATTAAGCTCACCCGAAAGCGTTGAGTTGAGAAGTCGAGGACTGCCATGGAAGGCCAGGACTATCCTGGCTTTCTCAATGCAACACAGGGAAGATTCTGGTTGTGACACGCCCTTCAACAATTCCTTTTCGATGCTCTGAGGTCTAAAAAGCCTCGAATCCTCAAGTGGTCGATGACCAAAACTGGGAAGAACTCCAAGACGCCGTTGCTGGTGGTACACTACATCTCGGAGATGTGCTGCTTGCCAGATATTATGAGAAACATTTCATAGGTTCAGGACAGAGCAACATTTACCATATAATACGGTACAATACGTCCAATAATGGAGAAGGACCCTGCAAAAAGAGATGAGGCTCCAATGCATTTTTTAGTCCCGGAGTCTTGAGCTTCCTAAGATGGCCAAAGAAGACCATTTGAAGATCAAGTTCCTTTGTGGTCCTTGCGGCAAATGGTGGACTTCAGTCATGCTCTAGGCAAAGCAGGGGTGGGTCTCTTGCCAACCGGCGTGGCCAGCCGGCATTTCGAGTGCATCAATCGTGATCCGACTGGGTGGTGGGTGGAGCTCGTAAGGATTGGCTTGGCCTTTTAGCAACACCTTTGTGGTTGACCAAGGTTTGGTCATTGTGTGCAGCATGGAAGAACAAGTCACACCATCGCAGACCCACCTGTGCCTCTAACCCCGGACAGTAGTCTTTGCTTAGCCAGTACCAGGCAGCACGGGAACTCGCCGGACACGCAGTTCAGCCTCCGTCCCATCAGCTGACGCCGTGCCTTGGCAATAGGTTGGTCCTCCGAAAGCATCATTAATAAACACGTGTATTGTATGACTTTATTGCATGGTGTTGTTATTTGTTTACTTTTTGATACATATATACTACCCTCGGAAACATATTTTTGTTTCTGCCGGGGGGGGCGTTTCGTACACAACTCCTTACTCACATGCCTGCCGCAGACGCTTCCTGAACATTTTTTTTTATGTACATCCATCTGTCTGCAAACATGTGTTAGGAGCTCCTGCACTGGAATCCACACCCTTCAGAGTCACAAATCCTTACCCATCAGAGGCTAGTACATATGTACATATACATATGTATATATATATATTATATATATATATGATAACACCACATAAATATTATTAGTATGTGTATATATATATACAGAATTAAACAGATTCATTAAAACATACAGGCGGCATCATCAAACACATTTCCAGGCATCATGCTTTTAGAGCATGCTGATGCTGCCAGTAGACATGTGGAACAGGTGCCCCCGTCACGGATGAATTGCGCCTGAGGTGTCTGCTCGCTGCCCTCCACTGTGGTGGTCACTCGCGTTATGGGTGCCTCGTCCATCCAGAACAAACCGGTTCTTTTTTCTTGGCCTACATCATTCATGCCGTTGAGTTGGGGGGGGTGCGAACTTTTGATGAACGATACACGTCCACGCATCCAGAAGCAGAAGACAGTATTTGAAGACAGTATTTGCAGACGGTATTCCATGATATTCCATTCAGCAATGTGAAGGAATCAACCATTAACGATTGATGATTCATAGGACCCATATTTCATGTTCTTGGTTGCCAGCGTAACTGCCACACTGCCACCCAGGCCTTTGCAGAATTTGCTAGGGGAAGCTCTGGCAAAGGCACGGCAGTCGCTCGGTCGTCTTGGTTCACCACGTTCAGCTGGATTTTCACTCGCAAACAAGGATGCAATACTTTACTCTCATTTAAGGGCATGTTTCATAGGTTCTTGCTTGTTTGTTTGTTTGTTTTGTTTTTGTTTGTTTATTTGTTTGGCTTGTGTGTGCTTCAATGAAGAGACTCTTGCCACCTCCTCCAAAGTCAGCAAACGGGGTGGGGAGGGAGTGCAACCTGTTTTATTGTGATGTGTTTCATGGGTCGAACCCGGTGAAAGATGGTGAACGCCGGGTGTTTTCTCGCAGCTGGTCCCCCGTCACAAGCTCGCCCTCACAGCGGGCACCCACACGCGAGGCAAAGGCGCCAAGTGGCCACCAGAATCCCCTGCTGAACCTGTCTCCATCCCTGGGGACCGGGATTGACCGTGTGACGACCGGGATGGAGCGATTCGAAGGATACTACGGGATGGTGCGAAGAGAAGGTCTCTTAGTGGTGGCCAACAATGTCTTCCTGGATTGTCGCAAAGGTGTTCTGAAGTTTTTGCAGTTTAGCAGCGCTGCAAGCGCTGGGGCTTGCCAAGCCGCCAAGCTTGAAGATGACGGAATCCAGAATCTGCGTGGATGGAGTCCTTTTCAGCCTTGACGTTTGGTAGATGTGTGGTGTTGCACACAAAGCCTCTTGGGCCTACAAGAAAGTGTTTTTTCGTCCAGGAATCAGGAAGATCGCTTTTGCTCGCAGGACTTTCCAAAGCTCCTCTACACAGTCCTACACGGCGGAGCTCAAGGTCAAAGCGAACGACAGGCCGATGGAATCAGTGCGGATGGTTCACCTCTGGTTGTCTGGGAAGATCTGCGTGTTGAAGGTGAAAGATCTGGTTTCCCCAAAGAGTTGCCTGGAACTGAAGAGAAGCGGCACCCGACTGGACGGAAGCTACCTGCGCCTAGTACACCTGCTTTTGCGGGTCTTCTTGGCAACGCACAAGAAAGAATAGGAAAAGAAGAAGGTAAGGAGCCCTTGCCTTCTTTTGCTAAGGACGCATTGTCTGTATTTTCTGATTTGTCTATCTAATTCTATATCTTTATGGCGGGCGATGATGATGATAGGTGACCTTTGGCAGGTCAAAGAGGCGTTGACCTCCATTCTTCGAGAGCAGTGATTCGATGGGCTGCCAGCCATGCGTGGTCGTTTTTTGTGCCCACACAGAGTGCACACTGTTGGGATTCAACAAGATCCCTGCACCACACACATGGTTCCTGCCATGCACGATCAATGAACAATGCCACGCCTCAAGCACTTCTCACCCACGATGGGGATAAGATAGGCTCGTGTCATGGACTTCCCATGTAGCCAGCCACTAGCGTGTTCCAGCATTTTCCTTTGTGATGCTTAAAGGCAATATTTGAGCTATGGGGCAGCGTTCTATGATCACCTGAATTGAGCCTCCAGAATCAGTTTCTCGACTGACCGGGCTCGAGGTTTGAGTGTACAGCCACCACATGCTCTTTGCTGGTCAACTCTACGGCAAAAGAGCTTTCGAGAAAAAGATGTGACACCGACTAGCAGGTGTGCCGATTCGATGCTGAACATGTCCGCCTGAGGCAGACCAAGGTAAAGAAAGTCATGCTCTGCTGAGTTTTTCATTTGGAACTTGCTTTGACGTGGTAGCAAACATGCTGAAGCTTGTTTTGGTTCAACTGCACAAAGCTAGGATCATCATGACTCCATGGGTAGCTGGTGCACTTGAGCCAAACTAAGTGTCTGCCACACAGCGGTGGCATTCGGATGGGGAAACCAGGGGCCACATTGTATTCGGATGATACATCATTTCTTCTCCTTTAACCAAGGGTGTCAGGCGATGTTACTGATCCTTGGTAGTATCACTTGTATCATAGTTGTGACGGTTTAACAGTAATGGGGGAAACTGGCTTGTCACGTGTGTTGTGTTATGTTAGACAGCTTTGAGTCAGTCATCGGATATATGATACCAGGGTGCAAAGCAAGCAGAATCATTCGTAGATGCGTGGCATGCCGCCGCTTTTCCTTGCGTTTGTCAGCACAAGTTGCGTTTTGACCTCGACGTGGGCATGACCCAGGACATCATCTAGTGGCAATGTCGAACCGTTTTGGGTGCCTTGCTTGTGTGGACCAAGCAACATGTCACGAGTTGTGGGTTTTCAAAGCTCCACTGGCACCCTCAATGTGGTACTCAGATGTACTCAGCGGGTTAAAGCCTGGCTTAGACCGCCATAATAATATATAATAATGCAGACTCTGACTCTGTTGAATGAGAAAAGAATAGAAAAGACATCATACCCCCCCGAAGCCCTGGGATGCAAAGCCATACTGATAGGGGTAGGAGGGTTTGATGAATCAACAGTCTACACTAGACCTACAAGTTGTGATCCTCAGAATTCGCCGCTTCGCTTTGTGCGACTTCAGAACGATGAGCTCTGGAGTGGAGAGGAGGCGAGGCCACAGACTGGCGGTTGGAGCACGTCCTTTTCACACGAAAAAGGCGGTTAGACAAGGCCATGAACAAGTACAGTACATTGAGTATCATAACCCGCCCAACGGCCCAACAGCTGGTGTGATGGATTCTTTTCTAAACCTACTTGGAACCTTCATTGTGCATCCTACACTAATCTTGGGTGTTTGGTCGTGGGCTCGTATTCGCTGGAACCGAAAGTCAAACAATGTTAAGCAGCTCAAATCCAAGTATATAGCTCGATTGGAGTGATGGGAGTAGCTTTGGGTAATTTCCTGCTGTTCTTCTACATGCACAAAAACTGTACTTCAATAGGCTTACAGAGGAGCATTTGTGCCTTTACCCTTTTAGAGTGTGGATTGAAGTAGCCATGGCGGCCTGGATGTGTGTTCGATTTGCTTTCAATTTTAATCTACAGCCTGTAGGAGCTTGCAGTATGTGCTCGGTAAGTGGCACTGTCAGACCTTTTTTCTGATTTTCCAGTGACCAGTGACCAGTCGAGGTATTGTTTCCCTTCTCGATTGTGGTGGTCTTCTTGGCCATCTTCGCGGTGCTCTTGTACTTTCTTTGGGAAGGTCACTTGGGGGTGTGTCCAGGGCAAAGTATGGTGTGCAGGCCCACCTGATGCTTGAGGTGTTTTTCACGTTGCGAGAGGTCCTAAGGACAGTGAATGATTTTAGGATAGAATTGAGACTTGCGCTAGACATAGAATTTTAGGATAGAGTTTCGTTATTTCGGAGGATGTTTTATTCTCTTTTAGCACAGTCATTTACTGGATCCATATTTATCCTGCTTGGTAGAAGGAAGGGCCTCGAGTTGCGTTGAAGCTGCGTGCCCCATGGCGTTGGGCGGATGGCGAAGTGCGCTACGACTTGCATTGCTCGGATGGCTTGTACTTCCAGCCATGGGATTGGATTGGGTGGTGGCCAGCTTGTACAATGGGACTGACTCATGTGACGCCAACTTGTTAGTCGAGAATTATCAACTCAATGATCCAGTGGACATTTGCAGCGGATGGAGGAGGTCGTATCATGTCATCAACTCGTCGTCCTTGTATGAAGTGCTTTGGCAAGATGAGTCTTGCACCAGCGTCTTGAAAAGTCCCATGACAAATCGAACGATGGAGGGAATAAGTTTTTCGAAGTCCAAGTACACGCTTGGAGAGTGCTCGACACTTGATCGCGGCTCAAGGTATGTCGGTCAGATTTGGTCGGTGAAGCATTTGGACTGGCGAGAGGATATTTTTTTTTTCCTGTCCTTGACCTTCTTGCTCAAACAGACGTGTGTTTCTGTTCCGTCAAGCATTTGTTCAACTAGAAACCCTTCCTGTCAAGCATGATCAGGACCTGTCTGTTGGGGAACAGTTCACTGTCACGGGCCATTTAAGGTATCAGGTGGTTTCGCTTCCCAGCAGTGCTGCCGTGGCATCGTATTGCAACGACTCCGACTCCGCTGACGGTCTGTTCCAGATGGAGATCTCGCCCCCGGAGACCTGCATTTCAGGTCGCAGTCTTGCCGGAGGTGGTTCTGCGAAGCTCAGTTGAACAGCGATTTATGGCCGCTGATTTTTCGAACGGACCAGCCATGGCATTCGTTTTTCCGGTGTCAATCTAGAATTCCACTGCCGTGCGATATGTTCCTCAAGGTTTTAATAATAAAGCATTGGCAACCGTGAACCCCCAAGTTTTGTTGCTCTTGTGGCTTTGCAGGAAATGGTCCGGTGGCAATGGGAGTGATTTGACCTACAGCAGTTGGTCCACGTCCCCTCTTTGTGAGGCAGATCCCGATTCGGTGCTTCGAGGGTCAGGGAATGAGCTGAGTTATGGATCCATTTGCAGCCTTAATCGCTACATCGACTTGACCACCCAAGCTACTGCAGTGTCTATGCCGGCGTGCATCCTTGATTCGGACTGTTCAGATATCCCCTTTGAAACGTCCGCATCTTTGGCTGCAGCTGCATGGTTAGCACCGACCGTTTTGGCCCAGAGCCTTTGGTGGTTTGTCCTTAACTTCCAGGTAGACTGATCGACGAGAGGTGCATCGACTTCCAATGTCCAGCAATGACTGCGAGGGGGGGTGATGACTGCTTTAAATATGAAGCCTTTGCTTGACTGCGTTTCACAGCATCGTAAATGTGGCTGTGGCTCAAAGCTAAGCTGCCATCCAAAACCACTCGGTGTTTGGATGTGTTTGGGTCTTGCTTATACAATATTTTATATTCATCATATAAATGAATATAAATGATATGTATAATGTATACATACAGTATATACTGCCTGCTATTGAGCCATATCCATGTAACCTGAGAACACATGTGCGGCCGCCAAAGAGCGGCTGTTCTCGACAGCTTTCATGCTGCTGAAATCACGAGTCAGCCACTGGGAGATGAGGGAGATGAGATTGCCAGCCTTTAAGTACCAGTCTCCAGTGTGATTGATTCATATTGATTCATTGAAACTCTGCTGTGATTTGTTCATCCCATGCTTTGACCAGTCCCCGCTCGGCGTTCCACTCACCAGCCGAGACCAGGAGCGCCGTGGCATCGAAATCGGGGCACGGAGAGTGTCTACCTGGGCGCTTGCATCTCGGGCGCGTATCGTGCATCGTGTTGTTGTCTGCCCGCGGTTTTGTCGTGGTTTTTGACTTCGGTTTTAGAAGGCCTGTGAGGGGGACAGGCCTCTCAACAGGTCAGAACTGTGTTCTTGAGTACGCAGCAACACTTCCAGATGGCCCTTGAAAGGCAGTAAGGGGTCATAGGAGTGAATCTTTTACCCAGTGGGCGCTCATGGAAGTGTTTGTCAAAACGGTCCTGGAAACCTGCTATGGTACCTGAACATGGCGCAGGATCAGGCCTTCGCTTTTTGTTGGTCCCAGAATGCACCAGAATTCAAATCCCATCATCATGCATCAAACCGCCAACGTCCCTTTCGTCCAACTCACTTTTCGGCCTGCCCAATTTCACATTCCTTTACAGGCAATGTGCTGCATTCTCCTCGTAACTCTGTGAGAGGCGTGTGGGTGGGTGGGTGTGTGTGTGTGTGTCACACCCTGGACAAAGGGTCTCACCCCACCACTTTCAAACTCTCTTACCCACAGGCAGGGGCACACGGCATCCATGACCTACCGTGTGCAACGAAGCTGCGGTCATGGATGGGAAGGGAAGGCTGATCACCTTCCTGTACCTGCTCTCAACACACTGACTCCAATGGTCCACCCTGCCGCTGTTTGTTGGTTCAATGGTTCTTCATGCTACCACCCCCAAACCCACCGCAACCTTACAGCCGACTTGCAGCCGCGCTGAGTGTCCGATCGTCTTTTCGAGTGCCACTGCAAACAAGGTTAAACCATACTGTTTTCACTGACCTTTGCGCCCTGCGGTTCTTCGCCTTTCTTCCCAACGTGGTAATTGCATTAACTGAAAATCCAAGTTCGAAGTGTGTCCTGCTCAGCCGTCCCACTCGGGTGCTGAGTGTGATCCCCTTCACAGGGGCGCTGTTTTTGCATGGGAACGCAACCACCCCAACGCTCCACCGATCACTGGAACATCACAGGAAGGCACCGACACCCTCACAGAATCAACCGCCACACCGGCCGCCGGGCCAAAAAACGGTTCTTGAAGAATCCTTCAGATTCCGAACTTCTGATTTCAGATTTCAGCATTCAGTGTTCCTTTCATGTTTTCCAATCATGTGCGTGTTTCCCTGTTCGCTATGTTGCTGCCGCGATTCTTTCATTGACAGAACTCAAGGATGAGCATTACGACTCTTCAGCTTAATTCGAGATGCATGAACACACACCTACTAACAAGCTTACATTTTACACCACCTTACAACATACTCACCACTGACACCAGAGATGACACATTCAACAACAATGACCCACCACAAGACAATACAACTCGGCATTTCTCCGCTGCTGCCGCGCTGCGCCGCGCCGCGCCATAGCTACGACCACGACATGCAGTTTCCGTGGCCCTACGCTCACGCCACGCCACCACCATTACCTACCACTCAACCTCAACCCACATGGCCGATGCCACAAGCATCAACTGCACCCACTTTTCCCTCGACACAACCATCGGCATACCCTCACCCACAACCACAACCTTTTCAACCACCACCGTTGTTGCCCACCCCTACCGCCACTGCACTGACTTACGGCACACCATCCACTTGGACTTTTGTCCACCCATGTCATGTGCCACCGCAACCCACACATCCAACTCCGGTGTTTCCGACCGCAGCACCTCCCCCGTCCTACCTGTTGCCATCACCTCAACCCACGCCGCCGGCTGAACTCCCTCCCCCCACTACACTGACACATCTCCCTCCAACACAGCAACAGCCTACGACTGCCAATTATCCATCCACAGACCCCCAATGCGCCATCCCCCAAGGCGTTTGGCAACCCTACTCAGCCTTTCCACCTGTCACACAGCCTTCGCTCCAACCGGGGCCCCCGCCACCGCCTGCACAAATTCCCAA